TGCCTATTTTGGTACTCAAAATCGCGTTTTCAATCCTCTTAGTTCGAAAAAAAATTCGGGGGTTCCAACCCCGAACCCCCTCCACCCCCCGTATTTTCGCTCCCGCAAGATTGAAATCTTGGCTACGTCCATGTTCCCATCTTTAGTTTCTCCTATTTGAACTTCAACCTCATCTATTTCCTGGGGAGCTTCATAAACATAAAATGTCAAAAAAAATTGTACAATGATTAAAGATTGAGAACACTCATTGCTTATTCAAAATACAATGCTAACATTCACATGTATCCTCTATAGTTCTGCTTCCACTAGATCTTTTTTGGGGGACAAGGAGGGTTGTCATTATTTTGATCTTTCCCATGTGCAGTTGTTGTCGAAGGTATTTCACATACCATTTTTTTTTTTTTTTGAACAATAAAATAAAAAATCAATTTGTAAAGCCAGTGCCAATTACAAAAATTCTTAAATCATCTCGTTGTTAAAGAGGAGGCTACAGAAAGATGAGATCTTTCCATACTCCTATATTTTTTCATTCAATGCGTATTAAAAGATTTTTAGAAGACAATAATCAAGGTAGAATTCATTGTTTAAGGCCAGAGAAGAATAGCAAAAACAAAGTTTTGAATGATGAATTTTTGGATAATACGTGGTTAAAAAGTAGGAAAAATTTTGAATTTACGTGTGCAGAATATTTTATTATGTGAACTTATGAAAGTGAGTATATAGAATAAAGAGTTTTGAAATAATGATTTTCAAACAGGGCTTAATATTAGAAATGTGAAAGTACTCAACCTCAAAAAGGTCACTCCCTTAAGAAAATAGAAATATATATGCTGTGCTACTAGTGTTTTCTATGCCTATTATTTGACAAATGATAAGAATGGATAATAATGTATCTCTATTTTCATTTGCTGTACCTGTACATATATAGATATTCAAACAGTAAGAAAATCATTAAAGCTAACAAGCTTGTATTGCTGCAAAAATATATTTGATGTTAATCACATAAGGCCTTCACAGGTAAATTTTTAAGAAGCAGGTCTGAAGTGAAAATTGTGGCACTATGATGCAAAAGACCATTGGGCTGAAAATGTTGGCCCAACTGGAATTGAAGGCCCAGTTCATTTTCTGTTGGTTTACTTGGTGCAAGAAAACATGGTGGTCTGTGAAGCTGAAATCATGTTTTCTCTTTACCTGTTTTTTGGACGCTTGTGATGTCACCACGCGTTGCCTCCAACACCGTTGGATTAACGACTGTTGAGTGACTCATATAAAGGGGGCTTCTAGGGTTTGAGCAACATAACATTGGCTTCGAGAATCTTCTATTCTCTATGTAGCTGCGCCGTTTGCTTCGTGTTCTCTTCTTCTCTGTTGAAATCAAATATTCTCATTTTGATTTCTTGTTTTCTCTCAATAGTGTATAATCCTTAGTGATTTACTTATTTGGGGTTGGTTCTTGTGTTGCGAAGATAGATCTCTTATTTTGTGTAATAATCGGTCTGGTCTGAGTGCTCTTCTATGTAATCCTTACCTTGGGGCTTGATTCGAATTATAACTATGGTTATCATTCAAGATTGAGGCACTGATTGTATGAATTTTGGCCCATGGGTCTTTGATAATAAAAGATACGTTTCCTCTTTCATTTTGCAGTTTACTTTTGTGTTTTTAGTTCAATTTCCTATTCTTTATATTTCGGATTCTTGAGTTATACTTTCAGTTCTTTGTTTCTGAATTTCGCACATATATGTTTGTTGATTATGAGATAAATTTGTGATCTCCTCCCAACAAGGTCATTGTAAACAATGACACCTT